GAGCACCAGCCCCAGTGCCTGCCACCCCCAAGGGCTGCCTCAAGCCTGCGTCTTCGGGCGCGGGGGCACGGGCACGGGCAGGCGCTGCCTGGAGGCGTCCTGAGCTCGCGCCTATGCAGGCGGTGAAACCAGCTCCTGGCTCGGTAGCCCCTGGAGACCTGCCTTGAAGGCACGGGGTAGTCCGCTGGAGACATGCCGCTTGGTGCTCTTGAGCCCATGGGAGGTGAGATGGGGAGACACACACCTGATGCTTAGTGTCAGGGATCCCCCTGACAGAGCTGCTGCCCACAGTGACTTGCAGTCAAGGCCAGCACAGCTCGTCTCTTATAAGCACAGCTTGGGGCTTGGTCACTCCTGAGACTGCCTGGGGTGGTGATTGTCTGTCACCTACAGGTCCCAGTTGCGTCTGGTGTGTAGTAGGGGGCAGTCGCTGTCAGCCTGGTGACACTAGTTGTTAAACTGGTTCCCACCCAATTATGTCTGCTGGCAGCTGCCACTTGTCAAGTACTGCCAGGATTGCCTGAGTAGCTGGGATCCTGTAGCTTCTGGCTTTCTGGCCTCAGGCTGAAGGTGGGTATTCATGGGTCACAGAGGCTATCTGGGACTTGTTCAGTAACCTTCCTGTTGCTCCCTAAGTTTTAAGCCATCCTTCCAGTGCAGTCTGACACCTTCTACCTGCATTTCCCCTTATTCCCCCAACCTACAAGAACAGTGGAGGGGGCACCTGGGAAATGCCTGGAGTGGATGCGAGGGCTACCAGCTCTGTTCAGCCACCAAGATGCTTCAAACACCTGTAGTTTAAGTAATATTGAGCCTGGAGGAAGGTGCCATAGTGCCAACCAAGCAGAGGGGCAGCTTCTGTGTCTCCAGAGCAGAAAAGTAGGCAGCAGGGTAGTAGCTTCCCTAAGCATGGGTGTGTAATGTGTACAGCCCAACCTTGTAAAGGCCCTGCCCAGCTGAACATCCGCTCTCCCTCCACACTCCATGCTTGCCTTGTATGTCTCAGCCACCTGTTCTGGTCAAAAGGACAAGAGTTAAGCTCTCTGGGAAAGGGACTGTCATCCAGCATGTGCAGTGCCTGGGATGATGACCTGACAGGTCTCTTGGTACTACTGCCATGTAACCTAACTAAGTGCTAGGGACCATACAGCATCAAAGGAGAGAGAAGCAAGTGGACAACAGGTGAATGCCCTTAGCTGTCCCATGGACTCTCTGCCCCCTCCATAACCCCATCTCTCCAAGTGGAAAGGCTGTTGCTGATGCCTACAGCATGGTGAAGGGTCTGAGTGAACAGGAGCAGCCAGAATGCATGGTAGCCCAGCCCAAGGGAGAATTGGGCACACTGGAGAACCAAAGCCTCCATCTGCCGGGGGTGGGAGTTGGAATCAACCCACAGCTGAGGGTGTGGTTGACTTATGAAAATACCCCATGAGGAATACCTTTTCATACTGCTTCTGCCTGATGGGCAGTAAGTGCTGGGAGGGACTTTTTTTCCCTCCTTGTTTCAGGAGAAGGTTCTGAGGGATACTGTGGCTGCTCTATACAAAAGACCCTGGTGAGTGAAACCAAAATGGTTGTTAGTATTGCATGCAGCTCAGTTAGCTTTGGACATCACCTCCTACCTGCAGAAATTACAGGGAAAGCAGCCTATGCACATGCCTGCTTCAGACCTCCTGCTGTCCAGTTCTCTGTTCCCAGAGACTAGCCTGGACTTCCCTTGTCTCTTAAGAGAAGGCATTTCCCCCACTACACACATTGGAGATGATTGTCTTGCCAACAAAGATTAAAAGATTGTTCCCACTCTTAATTTTACCAAGGAGGTGCTTGAGACTGCATTTTTCTACTCTGCCCCAGTCCCAGCTCTGAGTGCCAAAGTCCTGTCCTTCCAGGAGCAGCTCTTTGTAGTGTCCATGCTGTACCACATAGTGACAGCAAGGCTTTGCCAAGCAGGCTGGTGGCTATGGTGCTGGGGTGCCTTCCTAAATGCTTTAATGTGGGGGTCATAGCCTTTTGCAGAACAGAAGACCAGGACTCCAGGGGTACAGCTCCAGGACTCCTTCCCCTGCCCCCCCCCCCCCCCCAACCCCCCCCCCCAAAAA